GTGGCTCCGAAAGCGCACCCTTTTTTCTAGAAAAGACGTGGCGCGCCGAGGGCGAGCGAGGAAATGATGTCACTCATGCTCACCTGGCTGGTGATAACCCGGTCTGTCTGCACTGCAGCTCTCGGGCTAGCAGAGCAGAACCCAGGTCCCCCTGGACTGTCTGTCATGACATGACGGGGAGCGGGGTGACTCACACACTCTGGAACCTCTCAGAGGTTGGGATCACCAGCCAGCCTCTGACCTGGTGCCTGCTGCTGGTGGTGACCTCTGGAGAATAAGGGTCTGTGTTCGTTCAACCGAAACCCAGCTAGGTATTTCGGGGAGGACGCTTCCTCCGAAGGCCCCGTGCACCTAAACTCACGGGCAGAAATAAACAAAAATACATTAGTGCTACTGAATATATAAACGAAGGAGACATTGTTACAGAACATGTTTTTGGTGTTATTTGGGTCCTGTGCATTTTTCAAACAGAAAGGCAACCTGAGAGTTGCATAGAGTGGTTCAGTTTAGTGTTAAACACGTGTATTGACCTGTTTATCTCATTCGCCTTTTAAATCGGGTGCTGGCTCGTTTTTTTTTTTTCCTTTTTTAAAAAAATTTAAACATTAAATGCTATTTGGAGCATCTAACAGGCATTAACTGGTAAACACTAAAGTCGTGTAAGCCTATAAAAACTTCAGTGTTTAATGTCTAAGGTTTGACTTTATCGGTTTTATGCTTGATAAACACTATGGTTTTATGCTTGATAAACACTATAATACTCAAGTTTCCTTAATATATATGTATATATTTATAATTTTTTTCTCCCCAAGACAGTTTCTCTGTATTGCTTTGGAGCCTGCCCTGGAACTCCCTCTGTAGACCAGGCTGACCTCGAACTCGAACTCACAGAGATCCGTCTGCCTCTGCCCTCCCAGTGCTTCGTTTAAAGGCTTGGGCCACCACCGCCCGGCTTACTATTTATATTTTTAGTTAATATAGCCAATCTTTTTTCTTATCTCACATCCTACCTCTAAAAAGGCATTTCAACGGGCATTGGTGGTGCCAGGATAGGCTCTAAAGCTACACAGAGAAACCCTGTCTTGAAAAATCAAAAAAAAAAAAAAAAAAAGACATTTCATCCATTCTCTGGAGTCCTACTCCAAATGGACCCGTCCCTAGGATTTTTGTGTTTCTTCTGAAATCATCACAACTTTGACTGCGTTAGTTAGCTTGGTGTTCTTTTGTAACGTCTGGTATGTTGTCTAATTGTTGAAGAGTCAGATGAACAAGAGAATTTAACGTAACCAATGACATGTGCTAGTCTGAAGATAGAAAGTCATAAATCCTGGAATGGTTACGGTAGTTGTAAACACAGGTTGAGATTTTTTTTTCCCAGCTGTTGTTTCTCTCTGGTGATGCTGATACGAATGTGATGGGGTAAGCTTGTTCTGTGTTCCAGGGTGTGGTGAAAACACTTTAAAGTGTGTCTGATTTTATTTTCAGGTGTGGAAATGTAAACTTTGCTAGGAGAACAAGCTGTAATCGATGTGGTAGAGGTGAGTGCTTATGGGGACTCTTTTGCTCACTAATATATCTGTAGATTGTTTCTTCCCAGGATTTATATTGCATTGTTTGTCTGTTTTCAGAAAAAACAACTGAAGCCAAGATGATGAAAGCTGGGGGCACAGAAATAGGAAAGACGCTGGCAGAGAAGAGCCGGGGCTTATTTAGTGCGAATGACTGGCAGTGCAAAACGTGGGTGCTTCCAATTGCTGTCTGTTACTGCAATAAAAATATTCCAGTCACCACTCATTAATACAATGAACTCTTACTAATTACATGACAAGACGGTCTATCCTTTTAAGCCAAAAGTTTATTGGTCTTAGTCTAAGTATAATGAAAGGGAATTTTAAGTTGTGTCTTGGGGGTATGAGCAATTATTGCTGTGGTAGATTGTTCATGAGCTGATAACCAAAGGGATGAGGAACATTGAAGGTAACATGTAGTCTACTTGGTGCTACTAAATAATCGCCTTTTTTTTTTTTTTTTTGGCCTCTTTTATATGAAAGTAACTTGAGAAGCATAATTTGCCTTCCATGAAAAAAAATGCTTCTTGTTGGGTTTCTTAATATTTTTGCCTTTCAGATTTAGATTTCATTTTGTGTTGATTTTCTCAGTCTGCACATTTTGTAATATATAGATAAATATAAACTATACTATATGAAAGAGCACCGGGTAAGAAAAGCATTTTAGCTAAAGCTCTGGTCCTATAGATAGACATTGAATCTGTACTGGAAAATTGCTTAGCAGCAAACATGAGTCACAGGGTTTAATGTACTGCAAAGGAGTCCTTAGAGGGGAGTAAGAGCAGCAGCTGTATTTAAAGGTACCTTACTCTTTGAGGTAGATTCAGAGATGATAAATAATGGAACATTTTATTAAAATAGTATTTCTCCCCTAAGTAACAGAATCTCTAGTCATGTCACTTCTCAAAGTATTATTTGTATTGAATAGATTTTGTTCTCTACCCACCTAGTTCATGCTGTTCTAGGAATCCGGGTTCTCCAGAGCAATGTTTTGTTTTGTTTATAATTTACATTACTTCTTAATGAACATTGCTTTGTACTAATTCTCCAGAAATTTTCAAATATTACTATTTCTTCAGTGTTTGGGGGCCCTCTGATTGGATGTTTGTTTTTTACACTTGTAGTTGCAGTAATGTGAATTGGGCCAGAAGATCGGAGTGTAACATGTGTAACACTCCAAAGTATGCTAAGCTAGAAGAGAGAACAGGTAAGACAGAGCCACACTCTCTCTCAAGACTTTAAAAGTTGCTCCCTTCTCAGGAAAGCACAGGAGGAGAACAGTCTATCATCTTGTTTGGTTTGTTTGTTTTATGTGTGTGTTCTGCTTATGTAAAACTTGATGCATAACCAAGAATGGCTTTTTCACCTCTCCCCTTCTGCCCCATCCTCTGTGTGCTGGTGTCACCACCACACCTTACATTATTTCCTGGGATTTTTTTTCCTTAGCACTCAAAAAAAAAAAAAAAAACTCTTTTATTTGATGATACCAGCTTATGGAGTAGTGTTAGACAGCCTTACCCAAGCATTTGGGCTCCTAGGGTGCGTTGAGAAATGCTCTTCTGCCTCCTTCCCTAGTTTAGATGTGTGATAGTTGGTAAGAATACAGCAATAGCATGTGTTCTGGTGTGACCGATAGGTAAAGGATACTTTTAAAGGCATCCCGTAAAACTTAAAAAATTATCCTTAAACTTAGCCACATTTTAGATTTCAGAAAAACTTTAAAACTACAAATTACAAAACATAAAATGTAAGTTCTTTCTGTTGTTGTTGGGGTTTTGTTTGCATTTTTTTTCTACTCTTCAATAATTTCACGTGGCTGTGTGTTTTGATCACATTCACAAGCCAGACATTCCCTCCCCTCCAGTTCCTCTCGTGGCCTCACGTTTCTTTCCTCAACCTCTTGTGCTCTCTTTCCTTCTTAACCCATTGAGTACCATTGGTGCTGGCATTGTGGGTATGGGTATCCAGCCATCCCTCTGCTGGGGCGTGGGTAGCACTCATGGGCATGTGGCTTATATTGCCTCCTAGCAGCCATCAAGTGAGCTGGGGTGGGATTTTATGAGCCCCTCCCCAGCCCATGTTGGGACTTGGGACTTTGGCAACTTCATATTGTGAAAGTGTATGTACACAGTCATAGCCACTGTGAGTTCATGTTCCAACTCTGCAGTTGGGTCCATCAAATAACCTTTACTGTAGTGTACTCCACTTCCCTTAGAGATTATAATCTTCCCATCCCCTTTTGATGATCACTGGGGATGTGGTACAGATGTTGCTACTCAAAGGGGAGCACTCCACATGTTTTCTGCACATTGACTGCCTGTTGGCTTCTGTATTAATCTCCATCTGCTGTTGACATGTATCCCTTAATTGTGTCCATAAAACAGAATCATTGTATCAGGCTTTTCCCAGGGCCTGTGACTTACCAAGCCATGGGGTTCTTTTGCCCTACTAATGGTACCATGATTGAGTCTGTCTTCTGGAGAACATGGTTGGTTGTCCCCATAACGTGTTGCTGTGGCACCAGTGGACGTATCTGGAAAGACCTCTGGTTATGACTAGCAGGGTTTGCAGCTGAGTAGACCGTTGATTATTTTTCTTCCCTTGGTAGTGTGCCTAGAACCTTCTAGCACTGAAATTAGCCAGTAAGGATAAAACTTTCAGCTTGATAGCTCCATGTCCTGTGGTGCCTTTTGGGAGAGCATTAGTGTCCGCTATTGGGCTTCTTTGGGAGTGGGTCCCAAAGCCTAGTGATTGTGTGGATGGTATTTGGTAATTGTTGGCTACTATATGTTGCTGGTGAATTTCTGGCAGAATATCGTTTTTCCATTGTGAGCAATTAGCCAGCTATTACCTCCTTGAAATGTGATTGTGTCACAGACAGTACACATATGCAACGTGAGAATCTCTTAAGTTGATAAAAAAATGTTCCCTTTTCACCCTAATTGTACACCACTGTCCCTGTTTGGTTTCTGGGGATCAGAGACCTAGTGGTAGATCTTTCAGATCAAGTCCTTCCATCTTTCCTTTATTCTCCACTTTTGTGTTTTTAATTCTGTATGTAAGACCCTTGTTATTTAACATTTTGTGCGGTGTTGTTTGTTTGTATTTGTGATTTTCACTCCTGGGATTCTACCTCTTAACTCCCAGAGGCAGCTTTGCCTTCTGCACATGACAATGTATTTATCTCCTTCCTCAGTGTTGTGTCTCTCCTTGTATTCTGTATTCTGCCTACCACTGGAATTTGGACTCTCAAGGTATCTTCCTTGGGCCCTCTCTCTGTCCTTTGTTTTCTGTATATTCTAAAGCCAGAGTCTTAAGTAACAATAGGTGCACTGTAATACCCAACTTGTGTCTCCAGCTCTGATGATTTTGACCTACCTATAAATCTACTTATTTTACATTGTTGTATAATTGTCACATTCATTGTCCCACAACTAAATTTTGTGATTTCCCCACCTGGCTTCTTGAAGAGTTTTGTGTCTTGAGATTCATGCTGCCCATATCAGGATGTGCCCCTCAATTCCATGCTTCCTGGCCCCTTGTTCATCTTAACCCTACCTTCCAAGTCTGTGCTTTTAAACATAAGTTTAATCGTGTTTCTTATGAGCCCAGTTCTAGAAGAATTATAAATGGAGAGGAATGTCCTAAAACTTTGTCATAGCAAAGAGAAAGATGTTGTGAATATATATTCCATAAACTACTGCCAAGGCTTCACAGCTAAAATAGATCTGACTTGTTCTCTATCATGATTTTTAATTTGTCAGAGATTAGTTCTTATTAGTTACATAAATAACCACCATTGATTAGATTTTCATTTTTCTATTAGTTGGGAATAGTGTGAGCATAATAATTTCATTATTTGAGTTGTTTACATCAATTTTTGCCTTCTTTCTAAAGGATATGGAGGTGGTTTTAATGAAAGAGAAAATGTTGAGTATATAGAAAGAGAAGAATCTGATGGAGAGTATGATGAGGTAAGCTCTCAATGGGTATGTATAAACTCCGTTTTAAATTAGAAAAATGATAAAAAAAAAAAAAACCTTGGAATTCAGAAGAGCTGTGTGTGTGTATGTACACTCCAAAGTGTGCCGTAGTAGGGGTGTATATGCCCTTATGTATGCATCTGTAGATTGATAATGGTTGTCTTCCTCTTTAGTAGGCGTGGCTACAGCTTCCCCTGCAATTAGGGGCTGGCTACAGTCTTTACCTTGTTTTTGGAGACAAATTCTCCCATTGGACCTAGAACTCAACTGGAAGGGATCATCCATCTCCACCTATAAGTACAGGGATTACAGGCTCAGATTTCAACATCTGCCTTTCCACATGGCACAACTAGTTCTAGAAAGTAAAATCATTCTCCTGTTTTTCCGCCTAAAGAAAATTTTTTTAATTTTTCCTAGTTTGGACGTAAAAAGAAGAAATACAGGGGAAAGGCAGTTGGTCCTGCATCGATATTAAAGGAAGTCGAAGACAAAGAATCAGAGGGAGAAGACGAGGATGAGGATGAAGATCTGTCTAAGTATAAGCTGGATGAGGTAGCGCCCCCGCCCCGTCCTCCTCCCCTTTATCATTCTGGGTCTGCTCTGGAGCACAAGACGCTGTTGACACGTGAACCATTACAGACACTGTCTCACCATGGGGTGGGGGCAGGGGATGAGTAGGACACCTTTTCCTCGGTGTGGGCCACCCTATGAGTTTATGGTCTGGCTCTCTGAGTCCATACCTTAGGATGTACTAGGATGTGAGTGTATTTATTATACATTATCTTTTAATCTTCTAAGCCAAGCTCACGGAAGAGCAGGTGCCTGTTTTTCAGTGTGGTGAGTGCCAACACATTGAAGTGTTAGGGACACAGAACTAAGCAAATGGTTATTGTAACAGAGAAGAGAAAATAGGGTTCCAAACTAAGGCTGCTGCTGGTGGACCAAGGACTCCAGACAAAATTAAAAATTGCTGACAGTGTGGTGTAAATTCTGGGAGCCAGTGGGATAGCTTCCAGGATCTTGCCTGAACTGTCTGCCCAGTTCTCAAGTCTGTTCCATCAAAGGAGTTTAGTAGGTGAACCCCAGAATTGAAAATAAGTTTGCATTGAGATATTTGGTAACAGACACATCTGGTAATGTCCCGTATAATGAATATTCATCTTTTTGTGGGTATCACTGATATGTAAATGTCTAACTAGTTCTAAAATTTTATTAGGACGAGGATGAAGATGATGCTGATCTCTCAAAATATAATCTTGATGCCAGTGAAGAAGAAGATAGTAATAAAAAGAAAGCCAATAGACGGAGTCGCTCAAAGTCTCGATCATCTCACTCGAGATCTTCATCACGCTCATCCTCCCTCTCAAGTTCAAGGTCCAGGTCCAGGTAAACGGGTGCAGGCCAAGGGTAACACCAGTCAAAATGTCAGTATCTAACTTTTTACTTATACACTTTATTTTACTATTTAAGTAAGCCTTTTATTTTAAATATTTCAATCAAGTCACCTTAGCTAGACTTTATCTTTGTACCCTACAGATACTGCCCTGTATTTTCAGAAATTTCAGATCTTAGAAGTTGCTTGTTCTGTGTCACCCCCTTGGCTTTGACTAGAGTAACTTAAGTTCAAAAGCACTATGTAAGTGATATGTATTTAAGTAGATAGCATATGTTCAGACATTGTCAAGCAGATATTTATTTCACTGTTAGACGCTTAGCTGGAGATTCTCTGGGCATTAATGACATCTACACAATTTTGATAATTTATTTTGGTATTGTTCTTCTGAGTAAAGGAACAAATCCAGCCATTGAGTATTTAAGCTTCTCAAGTGTCCAGGAATTAAAGCAGTGTTTGTGGTTGTAAACACGTATTTAAAAATAAAAAGGTAAATAGTGTTATCATTATCATATGGTTCAGAATTAATGGCCAATTATTTTTAATCATTTAAGAATAAAATGTGTTACCTAACAGTGCTACTTTTTAGAGTAATTTTGAGGACTGGAGCCTCCGTGGTAGAGCCTTTTCTAGCATGTACGGGGCTCTGGGCTTGATTCCTAGTCCTCCTCTTTCCTCAAAAAAACAACAACAACAACAACAAATGATAATTCTGAGATAAATGTGTGGTAGTTTCTGAGATAAAAGTGTGGCAGCCCCTCTTTGTGGGGACAAACTAAAGATGGTGTCAAAGATGTCATTGTGGTTTTCAGAATTAAGTGTTACATTTCCCTGGCTCCACACTCTTGTCAGTAATGTAATTAATGTAAGAGTGTTGATAGGGTTGTTGTATCTTTAATTCTCTAAGACGAACAGGTAAAGAGTAGACATCAGAAATGGGATGCAACAGTTAGTGTTTCCTGCCTACTGGACACTGAAGATAGGGGTTTACAAGTGTGGAGAATTTAAGTAAAAACTGTAATGTTATCTTGGTGGTGTTCACTCGTTTACAATCTGGAGCCTTATGGCAGTTTAATTGGATTTGGTTTTTTTTTTTGTCTTTTTGTTTTTGAAGCTTAATCTTTATTATAATAAGAAGCTTTAAGTATTTTTGCTTAGAAAATGTGTATCTTGAATAGACACCTTTTTATGTGAAAAATGCAATTTTAATTTATGTCTTTCTTTCGGTGTTCATATCACAGAGTTCAAAAATGTGGTCCTAGGGAAAAAAAATGCTTCCCTGTTGTTCCAGGTCCCGTTCACGAAGCTCTTCCAGTTCGCAGTCAAGGTCTCACTCCGGTTCGAGAGAACATTCCAGATCCCGTGGTTCGAAATCAAGGTGAATGAGGTAGCACCTCTCTGTAAAACAGAGAGGAAAGTACTTAAAGGCTTCAGAAGGCTCTGCTGCTTCCCCTCATCACTGCTTCTACTTGCCAATTTTATTTTATCACTAGGGAACTAATGCACTTACCTCAGCTTAATCTCACCACAAAATGTTTCCATTCCGCAGTGTGTGCCAAGACATTTCCATGGTTGAACAAAGGGGGTGGCTTTGCATCCGTAGCTAAGACGTGTGACATAGGAAGGTGAAGCCAAGTCACTCCACCGGATCCCTAGTGTATTGAGATTATGTTTGTAGTCGTCAATTCAGTTTGACACAAATGAAGCGTTATTGCTAACAGGAAGACTCTGTCCAGTATGCAGCTTTGAAATCAAAGTTGTCTTACAGGCAACTGTTTACAGAAACAGCTTTGCCAGTTTTATCTCAGTTTCTAGTGAGTGCTGTGTGTGTTTACCCAATCTCCCTGATTTTAAAGAATGTTATGAGTTATTTGTGTTAACAGACATCCCTCTTAGAACTGAGTCAAATAGGATGTTAGCTATGTGTGATATAAGCCATACTGTGAACATTTCAGTTATGTTTAGTCAAATATCAAAGGAAAATGACTGCTAAAGAAGCAATTGACAAACGCTAGGTTTTTTTTGTTTTTGTTTTTTGTTTTTTTTGCTTTCTTGGAAAAATTTTTCTGTACTTCATCAAAATATGCTGCCTTTATGTTAAGTCACTGTATTGTTGTCCACTGCAGGCACGCAGCATTAATACGAAAGCCTCTAAAATCCCACTTGTGGGAATTGACAGTGAAGTTTCCTAACAGCTCTTCTGGAGAAAGGTTCACTTACTTGAGCCCATTCTAGCGTTTGAGGGCAACTACCGTTGAGTCCCACTGAGGAGAAGAGTGATGCGTGCACTCACTGAGCCAGTACACAGTAGAGCAAAGGTGCTTTCTTATGTGTATTAACATGTTGGTGCTACCTCAAACCGTTGAGTCTTGGTGTGGTCCCTTTGGGAACTATAGGACTGAGGTTTTCAGAAAAGCTTTCATATCCTTCCCAAACATTGCATTTGCTTACAACTTTCCAAAGAATTCTCCTTTTGGGCTTTCTCATTTTATTTTAAGCCCAAAGGTGAATTTTTTGGGAAGTATGAGCTAAATTACTTCAACCAAAATGTGTAAGTGAAAGATAAATTTGCATTAAAAATTTTTACATTTACTTCCACCTAAAACATGTGAATGTCACCTCTTCATACTTCATAGCACAGATCTCAGCACAAGTCAAGTTTTAAAGCTACCGACTAGTTAGCCACTTAGTGTTCTGTCTTTCTGGGCTGTGTCTCTCAGTTCTCTGTTGCAGCTTACTTGTAAGAAGTTAAGGTCATTGTCCTCAGTGGGTTCTATGTAACATGGATTTTCCCCAAATGGAAGGATCTAATTTCTGGCCATAAAGTCACAGAATTGAAGTCACCTCTTGATTTCACTAGTTATACACTTTAAATTATAAAGCTATAGCAATTATGAAAATATTCTGTCTTAATTCAGTAAGCTGCCTATTAATTACCAAGGGATAAATATTTAGAATTTTTAAAAGATAAGATGGTTGTGCATAAATAGAACATGTTGAAGGTTGACCCAGAAGTCTTCTGCTGAGTAAGCAGTAAGTATTCCCTCTTACAAAACCCTCGTAGTCACAGTCCTGTTTGCTTTTGGGAACTGGACAGTCTTCACTTCTACCCTTAATGAAACGTCTGCTTTGTCTCTCAATCAATGAAGATCCAGCTCCAGGTCCCACAGGGGCTCTTCCTCCCCAAGAAAAAGATCTTAGTCGAGTTCTTCATCATCTCCTGAAAGAGACAGTAAGAGGAGTCGATCTAGACCTTCTTCACCTGCTGTTCGCAAAAAAAGACGAACAAGATCACGGTCACCCGAAAGGTTTGGGTTTCTGTAGCATAAGAATGGGTGTTCTTACGTGTATTGAATAGATGGACTTTCTGGCAAGGGTTAGATTTCTTTCTCCTTTGTTATTTAAATTATATTTTTGGTCTTTAAAATTCAGAAATCAGATTACTTTGTTTAGCTTGTTAACTTTAGAAAAAGTTACAGGATACACTATTCTCTGACCATTTTATTGTTTGAATTTTTATTTCCATGTACATTATTATAGCCAACTCTCGGTTATTTTTCTGTTCTTAAAGATTGAAACCTAAAAGCTGTATGTTGAAATAATTTGCTTGTGTTTGTTTTTTTAAATTAAATACTTGAAATGGTAGGGATTTTAGGGTACCTAACCAAGATTAACTTGCTTGCAAGATCATTGGGAATCTGTCCTTATATAAGTGCGTACAAGCGCATTTCCATAGCAGTGACTTTTATGTCCTTTACATGGAAGTTACTCCTTGTAGTTAGTACTTTTTTCATCTTGCAGTCTGGATCCATTTTTCTCTTCAAAGAGGACCTTCACTGGGTCTCTGTATCTAGAGTGCACTTGTTAAGCACATAGTCAGCCTATCCTGTGGCAGACTTGATTACTCGGTTTCACTTATTTTCTCTTGGTTCTCAATATCGTAATTTCAATTTGTAGCTTCATTTGTAATCTTAGCAAATTTCCCATATCCTCTCAGCTTGTGAAAGAAAAGAAGGATCTTAGAGTCTGGTGACAGCTGGGTTCAGTGGGTAAAATTGAGTTATTCCTGATCTCACAGAATTATATGTCCTTGACACTTGAAGTTCAAAATTATACCCAGTCTTCTTTCTGTGCATTGTTTCTTTATAAGAAAATTACTCTGTACTTGAGTGAAATTCATTCTGTTGCCTTCTTACTACTTCTGCAAATTTTTATCTTAGCCACATATAACCCCCCCCCAGCTTGTTGTCATCTAAACTTAATGCACATGTTCTCTATTCCATAAGCCAGGTGATTGGTGAAAACATTAAACAACCCTGAGCCCAGGGCCAACCCCTACGGAACACCACCACTTTGCCCAGGTTGATACTGACTTACTCATATTGGCTGCATGAATCTAGCACTTTAACTAACTCTACAGTCACCTTATGTGATTTAGACTTCCAAAACTTCATTGCTATGAATGTACGTTTTCATACACTCAGAAACCTTGCTGTGTTACATAGAGACCTGGTGTGCTCTCTGTGGTGCAGCTGACATTATCACACGCTTTATCAGGATTATATGCCTTCCGTGTACACCCGTATGATTTGATTACCAGCTGTTTTTTTCAGGGCTTTCCCTTCCTTACCTTGAATAATTGAGAGGTGGCTATATTTGAAATAAGTGTTTATTCTTATAGAGAATTTTGAGTTAAAATCACACCAATTCTGGGCTCACATCCATAAGTGTGTCTAAGCCATCTTAGGTTTAATTATTCCTGCAAGCACCAAGGTACCTAGTGTTTGCTCTGCTCTTCTTGGTGTTTGCAGTCTTAGGAACAGACACTCAGGTCACTACTGTTTACAGATTGTGCTGCTCTCTTATGTCTTACAGGCACCACAGGTCGTCTTCCGGATCAACCCATTCTGGTTCCCGTTCAAGTTCAAAAAAGAAATAATGTATTAAAATTTACATCTTTAAAAAACATTAAATACAGTGCATGAAGCATATTTTTTAGGAAGTTGATGTCTCATTTGGTCAGAAGTGCTACATCTGCTAGTAGAGGTGCATGCCTTTGTTGCTTTTCAAAACAGTACAACTGTGTTTATTTGTGAAATTGAAAGTAAATTGCGTTTTAAGCCATACTGTTCCCCAGATAAATGCTCTGTTCATTATTTACAACCATTTGCTGTGTTTAGAAACAGCTGTAACAAAGTACTTTGTTTCCTTGTCCTTTTCATTTCTAAATGTCCTATTGACAGAGACAGGGTTGCCTGGACTTCAGACACATGGACAAGGCTAATAAAATTGTTGAAAACATCAGTTCATGTTCATATGGGAGAAGTAGTCAACCTGGTTATGTTGTTTAACTGTGTCAGTGATTTATTACCAGACGTTAACTACAGTTCACAAAGCTGACAACTGGGAACTTTGAGTTCTCTGTTCTGAGGGTGCCTTAGAATCATTATCTCTCTTATCGGCTTTACACCGATTTTAATGCAAGAGGATATTAGCAATTGCAGAAGGAACAGGTTATCCATCTTACTTCAAAATGTCTATCTAAATATAAGTTTAAGAAATATGGATATCCTTTAAATCTAGTTACCAAATATTGTACTTGATTGACAAAAATTTAAAAAAAGACTAAATCATAGTTCACGGGCAAATTGAAGAAAGTTTTTGAAGCCTATTTCTCAGTGACAGGCTGACAGAGATATGAATTTAAGTGAACATTTGCCTTGAGATGTCTGATTTTTCAGCACTGTAGATGTCTAAGTAACAGAAGAATTCTTATGTCTGCATGATGTCGGCAGAATTATTTCTTTCCTCACCTGAAAAAAAAAAAAAACAAACATATGGCTTAAAATGCTTTCAGAGTTTTATTTCTAAAATTAAAATCTGGTTACTTGACATCCATTTTGTTCTCTGGTTTAAAAGTTAAAAGGTTTCTCTTTAACAGTCTCTCCAGCAGCAAAGCAAGGTAAGTATACAATTGACCTGCAGTTGTGCTGGGGCTTCTTGTTACAGGAATTGTTTTTCCTGTTTCTCCCCTCCTTTAGTATTTGCTGCGGTTTAAATAAGTAAAGCATTCTAAGATGTTTAGTAGATAGATCAAACAATGTTTTTATTTTAAAGTGCTTTTCACCTCAACTGATCTAAAGATGAAAACAAAATATCGTATGTAGAAATATTTTCGTAATATTTTTACAAGCTTTCCTGTGTTGTTTGTCTTTATTTTCCTTGCTGCATTTACTGTAGGTTGCACACGAACTCTTACTCTCTTGTAATTGTGCCTCAGACTTCTCGAAAGTCGACTTTTCTGAGTTGCCCAGATCTTCTAGATCCGACGTGTTAGCCTTCGTTTGTTCTTGTGCTTTCTGTATTTAAAACTTGGGCTGTACTAGGCAAATACAAGATTATAAATTTAGCTAATAGAGTTTACAAAACAGTTGAGATGATTATGATTGGATTTGGTTTAATTGAGCTGTACTAGTTCATTTCATAAGGAAATGATACTGTAGACAAATGTAAATAAAATCTGAGTCAATCATCAAGTGTTGGTCATTAGAAATAAACTAGAAATTTTAAGCTCTGATTGAATGTTCACTTCTAAGCTCATAATACTTTTTCTTTTGTTAAGTGTTTATGCTTCTTACTATTCACTTTACCGTGCTTGCTTTCAAACATAACAAACATGGTGACAACAACTCAGGGTACTCAGAATTTTCATTTGTGTATGCTTAATGCCAAGATACTACATACCTCCCTCACTCCCTGTGGTCAGTTAGAATGTCAGCTCCTAGAATTACTCAGGAGCTGATACTTAACATTCAACAGTGTCTTTAAGTTCTTTGTGTTTCCACTGGAATTCAGAACAGGCTGTGAGTACAAGGCCATCTAGGCACAGTTGGAAAGATGACAATCTGTTTCTCCTTGCCTGATGCTCAGGGCCACTATTGCGGATTCTGATAGAAGCTAATAGG